ACACATACAGTATATATGTATGTATAAATCTTTTTGAATAGACATTTAAATATACATTTAAACTACATTTAATAAGCATGAACAACAGAACAATTATTTAAACATACTTGCCATAAATACATCTTTAAAATGTCATTGTGATGGACAGGCATTTTCGTGTGCCTACTTAACTGCTGCAGAAAGAGGGAATGAAGAGGATTTTTTTGTTTTCTTTTTTTCTCTTTGTGATTATGGTTTTAAGGTCCAATTCTGCTCGCTGCTGATGTTCCCATGAGAACGCTGTTGATGCTTGAAGATAGTCAGGAATCTGTTTTGGATTTATGATATAGGAATAGCATGTTCATAGATTATCTTAACTCCTCAATGGACGGCTGCCAGTAACCATTTTAGTAGATGATAACTTGTGCAATGTAATGTGTTATATTTAGGATTTTGCTTGATTCGGGACTGTTCACTCTGCTTTAGCACTATTTGAGCTTTATGAAAATGGAAGGGTGCTAACCTACACTGTACTCTGCCTGGAGAGATTAAAGGCATGACCTAGATACTTTTAGCATGGACCAGGACTAAAAGCAGACCTCTGCCCTTGGCAAACCACACTAGAGATTATCAATAATAATCCAAAATTGTAAAGCTGACTTGGTTCTCTTGACAACAGGTGCTCTTACAGACAACATGATCCTATAGTGAGACAAGCTGTGTACAAATGAGCTAAAGTTTCCCTTTCTATGTATGGTAAAATAGTTTTTCCAGGTAAATGCTGGAATTTCTCTTTCATTGTCTTTTTAAGCAGTTTAGAATTGCATTGTTTCAAATACAATTATACGACAAAAGAAACCTTAGCATTTTAAATTCTAAGGGTTTAAATGAAAGGAAAATGATAAATCATCCAGGGCTCTACACATTTAAAAATTATGTGACTTCTTAAGATTAACAACATGACATATTACAGTATATCATTTTTCTTCTAAAAAAAAGTAAGTAAGGTTTGTGTACAGTGTTTGGAAACTAAGTCACCAAGGAGGAAAGACTTTTGCAATGATCTCAGTGAAGCAATTGTTGCCACTAGTTGTTTTCTGTTTTCTCTTCTGTTCTCTTCTGTTTTGTTATTTTCTGGTGATACATAAAACCTTCATATCCAAAAAGGGTGCCCTTTCATTTTACCATGATGGTCTATCCTAACAAGGGTTGTGTGTGTGCTAAGGTTGGAGAATGTATTCTTAAGCTTTTAAAAAAGTTTTTTTCCACTTTTTTAAGATTACTTGGGATTCTTGTAGATTACAAGAATCCCAAGACATATGAAAGCCAAACTAATTCTACTTTCAGCCTACCCTGTTAACATTGCTTCTTAGTAAGCTGCCAAAACTGCTCTGAACCTCAGATGAATAATGTAAGCTGGCACAGCAAACCAATAAACAACACAGAAAAACATTTCTTGTATACTTTTATTCAACCTAGCCAGATTTCTATTTTGATTTAGCTTATCTCAATTTTCCACATTTCTACATGTTTTGACTTTATCTGGAGAGAAAAACTAGAAGAAGGAAACATACATACTTTATGTTTTTCAGGCGAAAAAAGGTAAAGATAGAAAACACACTTCAATCATGGATTCTCTAGTTTTACATTTTTTTCTACAATCTTTATGCCCAAACTTTTAAGGTTGGTGCTCCCTGAATGTGACTAATGTTGCTTCCCTCAGATGCACCTACAGATGAAGGTTAATCACATCTAACTAACACTGAGTTAAATCCAGCACTGCACATACACAAAAAAGAGAAACCTTGTGCATCAGGTACGGTTTCCTAAGGGTAATGGTGTTGCCACCAAGAGAGCGTGAGATCAGCCTGTGCTGGGTGATTTAAGGTAGGGGATTAAAACTAAGAAAATGACCGCTCATGAGCAGTGAGCTCATTTGTTTTTCTACACTGATTATTGGAAGAAACCACATAGAGGCTCGTATGCTTCAGGGTAAGATGTCCATCATAGCAATTCTTCTTCCTGATAACAAAAGATGTGAACATTTTCAAAAGAGGTCAGGTTCACGTGACAGGATGAAGAATCACACAGATGATTTGTCAAACTCACATGTTGCTGTGGTAAACGTGTTGCATGCCCACATGTCCCGCTGGAATAACAGCATTTGGTATGCTAATTGTGCTTTACATTTATATCTATTGGCATCTGTGTATTTTGCAGGCAGGTTTTGTGCATTTCAAGATCAGGGGAGATTAGAGCACAGCGGGTTAATCTTTAGGCGTGCCATCTGCCAGTCCCATGAGAATAAAACCTGAAGCATACAAAGCTTACAGAAAGGAAACCTTTTTCAGAGAATCTTTTGTAAAGTCTACGCGTGGAGCATTAATTTATGTTCTGTTTCAAATCGAATTAAAACAACTCCTGTCAATTTAGATACTGGACACTCAGATACTCCTTTGTGAGATGTTACTTGCACTTGATTTGAGTGTCAGAAGTCACAGATCTTAAATCAGGTATCATTGTTAAACAATGGTACACTCTCATTTAAAAAAAAAAAAAATGTATTGATTTATTTTTCTCCTTGTGTATAAAGTTAGAATGCACTTTATAAACTGAGCAGACCCTGTTAACATGCTAAGTGCTTTGTGTTTTACTCTGTAATACTCAGATTAGGGAGCAGATGTAGTATAAGCACGAGAATGGAGGTATTCATGTGCATAAATCCTCTCACATCCAAAGTATTTTAATGGCGTGCATAATAGTGTGTAGTTTTTTTGTGTGCTAAATTTTAGTCCTTTGAATTTGTCAGAGAATATAATTTAGAAAGATATACACATGCACATAGATTTAAATGTGCACTTCATGCGTGACTGTTGCAGAAGTATCTTTTGGATGCTAGAATTAATTCATTGTAAAGACATTTCTTGATTCCCAGGTTTTTATTATCTTCTGCATGGATTTCTTCAGGTGCTGTGACCAGAGTCCAAAAACCTGCAATCATTCTAATGTGTGGGCTAATGTGTGTGATGTGTAGTTCTGCTCGTCTCTGTGTTTGCTGTGACAGGTGACCGATCCAAGGTGAAGGACACAAACACACATATACCTTTTCAGTTGATCTTAGAAACATGAATTTCACACACCCCATATAGACATACTGTATAGTTATTTGGAATTACAAAGAATAGATTCAAAAGATTAAGAACATAGTGCTTCTTTCAGGCACTGTTTACTTAAGGCAGGGTTGCCCAAACTCGGCCCTCAAGGGCCACAGTCCTGCAGGTTTTAAAAGTTCCCTGCTTCAACACACCTAATGTCAGCATGCCATTATCAGGCTTTCATCAGAATCGGGTGGGTGGAAGCAGGGAGACTTATGAAACCTGCAGGACTGCGGCCTTCGATGGAGGAATTTGACACCTCTGATTAAAAGGGTCCGTTGAGACCACAGACACATTTTTTTATTCTCACTTATACTCCTTACCAACTGTGGCTACCTACAGTGGATATAAATCATTTAATAGAGTCTATTAGTTTTTCCCTCTTCAGAGGAGACGCTTCAATCATATGTGTCCCTGTGTTTTGTGATTAGGTCATGTCTTACTATTCAAATGAATAGCCATATTTTAAGCCAACGCATCTTTAACAACTGCAAATATATTGCTGTAACAACATTCAACAGCACAGTGGGATATAGAAAAAAGTACTAAAGGCCACCTTTGTGGTGATTCCTGTTAAAGTATATGCATACACAGAAAGAGACTAACAAAATAACAAAAAATATTAGTCACACTGATGTACGGCAACCAGTGGATTTGCATTTGTAGAAAGTTAATCCTTCACAAATAGGCGGCCGCTTGTTTGTTTACCTCATGACTTTAACAAGATTATCTATCAATAGGATCAGAACGCTTCGATGTCTCAAAAATCCAAGAGAGAAGGTTTTAATTGAAGAGGTACATGTACCATTAAACTGAAGAAATCAAGATTAAATCTATGGTCTCAAGTAAATTATATAAGACATCTTTCTTTATTAGGATCTGCATGATTAAATCTGATTTTTTTTCTTATTACATTAGTTCAAACTTCTAAATATCAAAATCATGTCATGATCCATAAATGTCCTCCAATAAAATACAGTCTCATCATATTTTTTAACCATGTCATGCTCCTGTTTTGCAGTCACTATTACAATTTACAGTTTTTCCCCACATGGTCTTGGACTGCATAACAACATCAAATATGAGTTCACCAATGATAACCATTACATTTGATCATTTATGTTAGGTTATTTAAAAGTAAACTTTAATAAAGGAGAAGAAACAAGACACTTTCTGATTTTTACAGCTTTGTACTAATTGGTCATTATTACAATAGGGTAAAAGCAAGGTATTAAAAGAACGACAGTTTGTAGAAAGTAACAATAATCATCAGTCTAATACAGCCAATTTATTATTGAAGTTATTCTCATTTGAAAATGTTTTGAAAAGTACATTTCAGGTGGCAGAAAATTGTTGTATGAGGAATAACTTTCATATAAATTAATATATTTAGGCCGCATTTGAAATGATAGTATACCTGTCCATCACTTTTTCACAGTCCCCTGTTTGTTGACAGAGCCTTCTGCTGTTGTTTCCCGGTGAACGCAATCCAGTTGGACTGAGGGGCCTGGGGGTAACTCTTAAGAAGAGTCATTGGATTAGCGTGTGAGCATCTGCTTCTAGCCATCTACAGTCAACGGTAAACACCTTGAGAGCTACACTGGACTCAACAGAACCGTCTTCATGGTGCGTTTTCTTGAGTTCACAATTTAGGATGAAGAATGTGGAGATTTTACATTTGCCACTGCTGTTTTTGTTTGCGCAACCCTGCTTTGGTAAGTTCTCTTTCTCAATCATCTCTGTTCAGTAGGCTGTCGTTGCTGTTGTTCATTTGTGAAAGACATTCAGTCACATATAAGAGTTCCTAGGGAGATTTTTAAAAGTCCTTTAAAGCTTTGTTTCAATTCTATTTACATTTCAATTCTTCAATTCTGGTTTTCAGTTTATTAATGTTTGGCTCAGTTGCATACATGAGTAAACAAAAGTTATATACTAAGTGCGTTGTTAGTATTTTTTATCTTCTTAGGATGTATGTAAGTAATTAGATAGAAATTCAGTAAAAAATGGACTATAGAACTGCAATACTAAAAATAAAGGATACAATTCACAGGCCTTTGGTTAGAGGAGTTATCTTAGGCGGTTGACGTAACTTAATTCTAATCCTGGACAAAGACAAGGAGAGCGTAGGGGCATGTGCCGTTAAGACACCATGATTTGCACCATTCTTGTTTATAAATTGAAGCAATAAAGATATTACCAGTGAAAATAAATTATCAATTTAAGGTAAATAGTATATTTGTTAACAGTACACACTGATCCAATAATACCTTAATTTATCACGGTTAGTTATAAATCAATCAGACTGGATTTTTATTTGTATTTTTTGCAAAAGTCATCTTTTTCAGTGTTACACGTAGAAATATACTTAACCACACAGTGAGTGATGACTTCTTGGTTTTGTCCTCAGCACAAGCAGACTTTGCTCCTTATTTCTACGACAATGGACCCGACAGCAACAATGGGAACCTGGCTCTCTTCAGCCTCTCTGAAGACACCCCTGTTGGTGAGACTTATTTAGTGTTTGGTTTTGATAAAGCTGTGAAAAACTAATCACCGAATATTTGTGATTTACTTGCCACTATCATAGTTTAAAATTGAAGTAGTCTTTAATAAATTAGCAGATGTTATGTAGCAGTTACGCACTCACACCCTCACAGTCATCTGTTGATGCCACCTGTTGATTTCGGGGATGTTTGTTGGCTGTGAATGCGCTGCTGTCCGTCTTCACCTTGCTTCAGTCCCTCATTACTTGTACTAACTGTGTCATGGATGGGATTGTTCAATAGGAGCTTCATTCGAACTTTGACTATATTATTATGACTTACTTTAGGTACACAGATCTACCATCTCAATGGAACAGACCCTGAGGGGCAAGAGGTGAGGTATGGTCTATCTTTTGATCCGGGCTTAAAAGAGTACTTCAGGATCGACCCGAAATCTGGAAATATAACGTTAGTGGAAAAGCTGGACAGAGAGGTAATGTGAACAATAGATCTTGAATGAAGACAAATACTGTTGTTTTCTAATTATCTTTGTGCTTGATGTTTTTTTTTTAATCTTTACTCAGAAAGAAGATTCCATTGATGTTATTATCAGCATCACAGATGGAAGAAGCAAGGTATCAACATGATTAATAATGAATTAGATAAATCTGAAACAACATTTAAACCACCTGCCAAATACCTGTTGATGGATGACTTGGGACCAGCAAATATAGTTGGTCACTTGTTCTAGTGTTCCCTGGGGAAATTGAGAGGTTCTTTGTGGAAACTTTCAGCTTTATTTATTTCTTCTTTTTTTTGGTAACAAAATTTTAGCTAAAAAATAGTTGACACCAAAAGAATGTGGTTAACATAAATATGACATCTTCAGTGAAGACCAATGGTTTCCCAACAGAACACTACAATGTAACAACATAGCGTAATTCACTTTGACAGTCAGTTGTTTTCATGTTGTGGCTGATTGGTGTCTTTACAGTCATTCCACTGATCAAAAACTATTGCCACTATACTACTATTTTTTCTAATGTCATGTGACTTTCTTCTTCTATATAGGTTGTAGAAAGAGTCACCATATTTGTTACAGATGCAAATGATGAAAGACCCGAATTCCAAAACTTGCCTGCAATCATTGATGTGGTGGAAGTAAGTTGGAATAAATTCCATAGCCTCTTAAATCAAAATAAACAATTGACATTCTCTCAAGATAAGATCGAAATGCATCTTCTTTTGACAAGGTACCATGAATTCTATTCTGTGTTGCATATTTCAGACAACTGAGTCTGGAAGTAGCATCTACAAAGTGGAGGCTTTGGACAGAGACACAGGCTCAGGAGGGTCATTCACCTTCCATCTACAGGTTTGTTTTGTTTTTTTAAGCGACAATCTTCCTTGGATATTGAATACTTGATTAAACTGCACAATTCAGTTGTATAGTCCATGCAACGACCGCTGAGCCTTTGCTGTATGCATGTACGTTTGTTCATTTGAGTGAACATGCTGGGGTAGTTGTGAGGAAGAGGATTAAACCACAATTACATTTTTGGCTGTTTTGGCAGCTTGCTAAAGGGAATATCAGTTTGCCTTTTGGACAGTTGTGACCACGGAACAGCTGGCCCAGATCTGACAGCTGATTGTGTTGATTTGGGCTGTTCACATGTGGATTTTAGTCGCTGCTTTTCCCCCTAAACATGTAGAGTATTATACATGCAGATGCGCAGTAAAATATGTAAATAAACTGGTGTATTAGCCTCTGTGTTCTTTGACATGAATACATGAATATCTATCCCTCCATAATTCTTTTTTTTTTGGGGGGGGGGGGCAGGTTGCTTTCTGCTGTAAAAATCGTTTTTCTCTTTTATGTTGCAGACATCTCAGCAGTCTTTGTTCGCCATTGATATTCATAGTGGTGTTCTTCGTATCAAATCTGGGGAAATGTTGGATTATGAGAAAACAAAGACACATTTTGTCGCCGTCATTGTAAAGGTACCATGTTTTATTCAGCTTTCAAAGACTTCATGATAAGTAAAGTTTTCTATCTATATGATGGAGTTAGGGTATATGTGAGTCAGTTGTTTCCAGCGTCACGGTATTTAAAGTAACAATCTTGTGTAATATGTTATATTGTTTCATTAATTAATTATTATCCATATAGTAACACACAATTATTCCAACCAACAATACATTAGGTAAATCATAAAACCATTGTTCAAATTTACATGTGATTTTTTTTCTTTCTTTTTTTCCAGGATGGAGGTGGCAACTTTAATGGCAAAGAGCAGGTGCAGTCATCCTCTGCCACTTTGACAGTCAATGTGATTGATGCACAAGACACCCCACCATCTTTCATTGGGACGCCCTACTTTGGCTATGTTTATGAAATCTCTTTGCCTGTGAGTAGAAAAATATCTCCTAATGATCCTACTATTTAAATGCAACACATCCTATTTAGTCTGATGGAAACTCACACATTATTATTTTAATTTGTATTATACTATAATAAATGTTTGCAGCTATCTATTTATGTTATAAAGAAAAGGATGAGCATTGAATGATATCTAAGACTATGAGTGTGTTTTTCACTGCTTGCTCACAAAATCATTCTGTTGAACTTTCCTCAGGGATCTGACATTTTTACAGTTACTGCCATAGATGGTGATGTGGGGAACCCAAATCCAATCCATTACTCATTTGTCGAAGGTTAGCCTTAAGAACTATTAATATGTGGGAAGAGAAAATAAGGAAGTGAAACATGAAAGCAGATAACTTTTCTTGCGTATTTTTTGCCCCTAGGTGATGATGGTGTTTTTGGTATCAATCAGACAAGTGGTTGCATCTCACTGCTGACTCCACCCATTTCTCTGAAGAGAGAAATTTTTAACATTAAAGTCAGGGTAAGTCTGAGTTTTTCTAACAGATGTACAATATAACCTACAGCATGCCTATAAACGAAAGGGGTTACTGAAAAGAAAATGTTTCATAAGTATACAAAAAAGTTTAAATATTTGAAGTGGATTGAAAATGTACTCCATTTTTCAGGCCTCAGAAGTGAGTCCTGAGGGCAAGCTGTTGGACTACGAGCTGACCACAGTGGTGATACGTGTCGTTGATCTAAATAACAATCCACCCACTTTTTATGGAGACAAGGGCCCACAGAACAAGTTTGAGCTGACCATGTATGAGCATCCACCTGAGGGGGAGATACTGCGGGGCTTGAAAATCATAGTCAATGACTCAGATCAGGTAGGAGATGGCCTCTATTTACCTTTTAGAAGATTCCTATGTGTTGATCCATTTGTGTAGCAGGTATTGTCGTTTAACACAAAAGAAAATTCCCCAATAAAGCTGCTACAGCAGCTTACTCATCATCAGCACTAATTTTCTGGCTATATCATATTGTTATTTAGTCAGAAATGGATTTATCGACATTTATCAAATGACAATGGTGTCGGGGCACTGACTGCCTTGCTTTCTGTTAAATGATCTTAAGCCTACCACTATCACAGGCAATCCCTTTAAATGTCATGCATTTTAAAGTAAACAAATGTCATTTGTCAGCTTATGCAAGTGTCTGTATTTAAGAGCTTCATTAAAGTGGACGATGCTCTCCAAACATTTCTCAGATAATACCCTCTCAACATCAGGTGGACTCTGTGTTCACTGACATGTTTCACCGAGAACATTATTTCTTCTACAGACATCCAAATGAATTATTTTGCATTACTGTAGCAATTAGGGACAAAAAGCTTTTATACTGACTGAACATAGGCTATGCTACATGGATTAAAGTGTAGTCATATGTGCTTTTTGGATGTGGCTTTGCAAAAAAGAAAAAAGGAAAAGAAAACTATCATCAACCGATTAGAGCATAATGCATGTAGACTTTTGAGTTAGACTTTTGAGTAAGGTGATGATATATGTTTACTCCCACAGGGTGCAAATGCAAAATTCAATCTGAGACTGACTGGACCGGGACGAATGCTGCGAGTCGTTCCTCAGACTGTACTAAATGAGGCCCAAGTCACAATCTTAGTAGAGGACTCTGCTGCCATGGACTATGAGAGACACCATTTTCTGACATACAAGGTTATCCTTTCATAGCAATGTAGACAGAACTACATTTTTAAAGTGAAATCAAAAGCACTAATTTGTCAACACATATAATTCTAACAATATTATTCCACATGTATAACTTTGTAAATTGCTCTATTTCAAATGACCAAACTATTTCTATTTTTTCAGCTACTTGCAGTTGAGATTGATACTCCAGAGAGATTTAGTGCAACAGCAGAAATTGTCATTCATCTCCTGGACACCAATGACAATGCTCCGAAATTCTCCTCAGATTACTATATTGCCAGAATTCCAGAAAACTCTCCAGGCAGCTCAAATGTTGTGTCAGTCACGGTGAGTGAGACATCATCCAATCCAAAAATACATGCCACTGCTGATCTGCGTCACTCAGAGCTAAAGAGGAATGCTGATTTTAACAAAATGCTCAACAGGGCCATTAATTCCCTAAATGTAGACTCTTTGGGAGGTGGGGGTTGGGATAATATGTGAAATCATGTAGATAAAAGCTGGGCGAGGTAAGCTGCCAGATGGCTATCACTTTCATTTTGTTGTGTAACAGCAAATACCCTGACTTTTTCCCCCCTAAAGCTTAGTAGCACATGCAGCTACAGCACAAAAATATGTCCTGAGGCAAAATGAGTACTGTTAAGGACATGGTGAATTGATCAACGTTCACTCTATATCCTCATATGACTTTGTCAGTTCTTCTTAAGTCGGCGGAGGCTTGGGGTCTCACTACAAGGTCCTGCCCTGTGTGTGAACCCCACAGGGGCTCTTTGCCTTGATCCTAGGAAATTTCAGTTGGATAAAAGAAGAGCCAACAAGTGACCTTGGACGGATGAAGACAGTGAACAGACAGCGGCTGCAGACACACAGATTAGCTAAAGCCCTGAAAAAATTTCATACACCAAAGCTGACTTTTCTAAAGAGCTGATCTGTGTTCCAATTGCAGAATACATTTGTTCAATTCTGATACGTCACATATTTGATAAGTAATTTTCACAGAAAAGGATCGTAACAAATACAGCCATCATAAATTACTAAAAAACGTGCTTAACTCTACGATAAACTGACTGCTGCGACATCGGTGTTGAACTGACCTAATATGTTTAAGTGTGGATTATATAAACCAAAATCTGTTTACTTTCTTGCGCATATGTCGCTGTCTTCAGGCTGCTGACCCAGACTCAGGACCTTGGGGTGAAGTGAGGTACTCCATCTATGGATCTGGGGCTGAGTTGTGAGTATGAGAGCATAACTGAGCATTGCCAGAGGGGAAAAGTGAAATGACTTATTTTTTCATTTTAGAGTGTGTAGAAAACTTGAAGTAATATATCAGCCTGAAGGCAAAAATACCTCCACATGTTCACCTGTTAGTTTTCATGCTCTGGTACCCAAACTGCCAGAATGAGAAATTGTTAAAGTCTAAATATTTTAAGAGATAAGATTAAAATACCTAAATGCCTGCACAATTGCAAATTTTACAGTACCTGGGATTCCTTTGTTGCTTGATCTGTGTCTATTTATTGGTATTCGTGCTGTGAAGCACTGTGAAGCTCTGGCACATTCCAACGAATGAAAGGGAAGACACAAAAATCACAAAGCTCAGACAAAAAGCTAAATATTTGATAACCCAGGTTTTTTTTAAAAGCAGAAGAACAAGAATGGCAAAACTGCAAATCAAAATCACAAACAAAACTAAGAAAAGTGATGAATTCCACACAACTGTTACAGCAAACCTATTTTTTTTCTAAATCACATTTGGCTATCTTCATTGTTGTGTGAGCATCATATTAAGGAGGATCTGTTTTTGTCTTCCTCAACAGGATTGTTATGAGTTTTTCAGAGGAGATCCATCCCTATGCTTCTGAGGCCTCTCAGAAAACATCTGAGAGGTCTCTCTTGAGCACACAACTGACCCACATCTTTTCTTTTAAAGCCCTAACACACACATACATGTGTAAACATTTATATATATACATATATAGGGATAAATATGATCATATTGTGAGCTTTGTCGTTAACTTTTGAAAATACTAACATCAGTAAGGTTCATTTGTTGGAGGGTCTTTCTTTATTCAATCAAAATGAATGAGCAATGTTTTTTGGAATATTTGAGACATATTTTTGGGCTCTGCAGGAATTAATTTAAGCAGATATGTGATGTCACATGGCATGAAGGAAAAAGGATTTCCAAAATAAGCAGTTGAGAGAGATTTAGAACACTTAAGCTTAGCGCATACATGTTTAATCAAAACCATTTTGAACCGTGCCTCCTCAGATTTTTCTGCAAAATCCTGCATTCAAGAAGAAGATTCAGTGATTTGGCATTTCATACCTAAGACTTCATGAACAAAATGTCGTAAAATGTTAGAATGAACACAGCACGACAGAGTCCTGATCTTTTCTGACTTGGCCTCTGTTTTAAGCCTCTAATGGGATTAGAGAAAAAATAGACTGCTCTTTGCTTCTGAGTACATTGCTCCCAGACAAAGTAACTATAGAGTAGCCAACCAAGTCAGTGAGTGAAACTGCATATTTTCACCTCAACTTTGTGTTTTTTGTTTAGTTAAATGACTGTGGTAGGACGGTGAAGTAATATTTGAGAAACTAAAATTTCTGGAAACATACAGTACTTTTTCATTTCTTTTTTTGGCTGCTTGTCTGGTTAAAGAAAACTCCACACATCTTGAGTCTGAAGACATGCATTTTAGTTATCCAACACCCAGCAATGAATCATATTAGCACAGAAAAAACAAATGCACCGCAGAAGTATTTTGTATTTCTATTCTATATCTATTTTGTCTAACAACACAACAATGCACCACAAAGAGATGTGTTTTACAGTTAACACATATTAACCCTACAGCAAGAATGTCAAGTTAAACATGTAAAGTTAAACCATGTAAACATGGTTCTGAAAAAATTAAATGAACAAGAAGTGACATCCAGAACGGTATTTCATCAATTGCAGGTTCTTCATTGAGCCTGAATCTGGGATCATCTACACCCAGCCATGGGCAAGCCTGGATGCTGAGGTGAGGTCTAAGTATAACTTCTACGTGAAGGCAGAGGATGCAGAGGGAAAGTACAGCCTGGCTGAAGTATTTGTGACTGTGTTGGATCTAAATGACCATCCACCTGCTTTCAATAATAACGTCCTTGAGAAGACCATGGTGATTGGAGCACCGGTAAAAATAGAGGTACTAACTGTTCCGCGAGTTTAATTATGAAGCTGACAAATTTTCTTAAAAGTGTAATAAAATACCTCTTCACAGGCAGTGGACGATGATGCAGAAGTACCCAACAATGTTATTGAGTACGCCATCATGAAAGCTGAGCCAGACAACAATATATTTGACATTAATTCTGATACTGGAGAAATACAGCTCAAGTCCTATATCAAGTCAATGGCTATCATTCAGAACATAACCAAGAAAAGAGACTGCACCTGGTCGCTGGTGGTGCAGGCACGGGACCGGGGCCAGCCTTCCTTCAGCACCACAGCTGTCGTCAAAATCGATATCACCGAAGCGGTAAGTTTAATTCACATTTGATGCTTCATGACATTTTTAAGACATTCTCCCATTGTTTGGGTTAAGATTTGTGGTTGAAGAACAAGAAAAATCAAATCAAATCAGATTTTCAAATTAATGTTTACTATCACATTAGATGTAAAAAATTACATAGTTGTGGCCTTTCCCCTAGATTTTTTTCCCTTTCAAAAAGGAGGACGAATTCTGTTATTACAGATGCTTTACTCAGATATTAACATACTCATACATATTGGTCTCAGACATTAAACCAAAATCTACATAAAGAAAGGTATTTCTACAGATATTTTCCCTCTAAAAGAGGATCCTGTTCACACAATATGAAAAAGGAAAACTAATTATTCCTGATGAAAGCTATACCCCCATCAAAACACTAATCTTACATTGAAAGGAGACAAGTTTTCTTACTGTTTCAATACAATCATTTACATCTTGATAAGTAAGTTTTTAGACATAAATTAAACTTCTCATTTATAAAGACCAAAACATAATGACACAACATATACTATATACACAAGTTTTAGATGTGCTTAGTATGCATGTGAATGCATCACGACAACTCAGAATGTTGGCTTTTCTTGTTAGTTAAAAAAATTCATTATCATAAAAATGTCATGTTTACAGATCAAATCCAGATTTGTCTCATACTTCTTGGGCCTAAGGAAACGTCCGGGGGCAGTGTTTGGGATTTGTTTGACCCTTGTCACCTTCGCCGTTTCATTGACAATCTTCATTTCAACCGCTATGTACTGGAAATCTGTGAAAAAGACCCGGGTCCAACCTCAGGGCAAGATCAGAAAGATTATAAGGAGGCCTGTGCAATGAATTAAACTTGCCTTGAGTTCATCAGCACAGCGGGACTGTTGTTTTGACTCTGGGGCAAAAGGAATTTGAAGCTTTTTGTTTTCAGAGGATTTTGTAGTGGAACAAGTTAGTGTCTGTAAAAGAGTACAAGAGCACAATATCCTCTTCAAATTTGCTTTACTCTTTCTTTCCTCTCTGGGGTTCAGAAGCCCCAGGCAAGCAACATTTTGAACACATACATCCCTATTTTCATTCTCAGATGATGACTGGTCTCAGCTGTGGGTTTCTTGATAAACCTCTCTGATCTTGTCTTGCCAAAAGCTTAAAAATAGCGCAAAAAATAATAATACTTTAGTTCCAAAAGTACAAACTATTAATTTTCCACATCTCTCCAAATAGCTCCTGCGGCACTAAACATAAGTTAAAAGTTAGTATTTGTGTGACAGCCAGTCCCATGGATGTGAATTCTCTGTGCTCTTTTACAGACCCAACACAAAGGGGGGCCTTTGGGATCACTTTTAATGCAGAATAGAAACAAGCCAATGCAGATCATAGGTGTGCTTGCTGGCATCATTAGTCTCATGGTCGTAATCACAGTCATCATCTCCACTGCAACATTCATGCGCAACAAAAAGTCAAACCGGATCCTGCCAAACCGCCGTGTCCGGAGGAGGGCGCAGAAGAAACATACCTGGAACTTCAAAAACCCTTTCAGGACACTGGAAACCCCAAAAGAGGGATTCGTTGTTGAGGAGGAAGTCCGAGAGCCGAAGGTTATTGTGGAGAATGTAAATTGTAACAATAATGTCAGCAATGTTGTGAGACACTGGCCCCTACCTCCTTGTGCACCTTCTCTTCCCCCTCCACCACCCCTCAACATGCCAATACAGCGGCAGTGGGCTGTCCCAACAGTCTCTGCAACTGTGGCATCCAAACCTCGAAAGAAGCCAGTGACAGATAGACGGGACACAGTGAACAAAGAACTTGTTTCAGAGCTCAAGATGAGACTGGAGCAGAAGAGGAGGGCCATGCCCTAATTCTACTTGTCGGCTGAACAACAGCGTCAACACGAGGTGGCTGACCAAAGCTTGCAGAGGCCGATGTCGACGATAAAAAACGAACTCACTCATGAATAATGCTGTGCGTGTTCACATGTGGGTGTCCGTATGTGTGTTTTTTGTGCGTGCATCTGTCTGAATGAGAATGTGAGTGTAAAGCACACTGAAAGAGCAAGAGTTTCTTTCATTTTGTATCACTAAGAATTTTCACATACCAAGTTCCTGTCATGTGTCTGATGTTTTCAATTTCCAACCATTCTGTTAATTTTATCATTCCATTTTTTTGTTTTGTTTCATCGTGTAAAAGCGGAATGTCCCTTTTGCATCCAGTGGTGACTCTTTAGTGACGTTTGAGAACTGAAACCCTGAACTTGGACTTTATTCTAATAAGTAAAACTGTTTATTAGGAATAACACCCAGCTTCTTCCAAGATATCTAATAACACTGATTAAATGAACCAGCTCCAAGAGTATCAAAGTGATCCTATTATTGTAGTGTGCAGGTGTAAAGCACTACATAGGGCCCTGTTTTGCTGCAGACACTTTAGGTTTGTTGTTCTCATGTGAAGGGCTGCATTTGGTCTTTCCTTATATAGCAGAAAAGAATTTATCAGCGGGTGTGTTGTTGTCAAAACAGTCATTCTGTCAAAAGATCTGTAATAATTTTACAACTGATTAAAAAAATTGTCATTTCAGCAGTGTTTTTTTTCACATTCACATTTTTCTAAGTTAAGCAAAAGTAACTATCTCATGCAGTCCTGAATTCCAAATGTTACACAGATTAATGAATTGAGAACAAAATTTGTCAAAAGGCAAAAGTCAATATGAAAATGGTATTGATCCAGGATATAAGCAGGACCACTGCCATAACTAGATAGAATTGTTTCAGTTGATGGCGTCCTGAAACCGACACTGTTGTGTAAAAATATGTTCTCAAACTGTTACTGTAATAACAAAAAGAGATGGAACACTAATTAAATATTTTATTCTTTATCAACACAACTAGTATCCTTTACTGATATTTTTAGAATTTCCTTTATTGGAAACCTAACATGAAATGAGGGCAGATGGAGGGGGGAGTACATGCATCAAAGGGCCCCTGAGGATGACTGCATCGAGGAGCTTTAACAGACAGGCTTTAAAAGAGGAGCTTTGGATCATTTCCCCAAATGTTTTAAAACTAATAATAGAGTCAAAAGGTCATATTTTATAGGATATAGTTGTATTACATATATACATATATATCAGCAGTATAGTTGTATTATATAGTATAGCTAATGGAAATATCAACTCCTCTATGACTTATCCAGCTTCTGTTAAGTTTGATTTCAGTTTTCTTTTTTTTTTTGCTGTATGTGTAATGACAGCATAATAAATTTAAGTTTCAGAATTTACTTCCAACCTCCTGCAAATAAGCTCCTTACGAAAGCAACAATATGTATGATATGAAATAGAATTACATGTTTGAAATTGTTTTAACACAATTACATTATCTTGGTTTGTTCAGTCTCTCAAGGTGTTCAGCAAATATGTACCATCATCCCGGTCCAACATCATTTGTTGTCATTAGTTCCAAAGTCTTGAGCCTAATTAATTATAACATTACACCAAACTACTCCCTGGATATTTGTGTAGACATAACCCAAACATGAACACAATTTAAAAGTTACATAAAACATTAAATTTACAGATTACCCGCCCTAAGCCAAAGACCAGCTTGTTCATCTCTGAGCAATATTGAATTCTGGCAAAAAAACCAAAGTCCATCTGCCCTGAACGAGTTTAGACAGATAAGATGTGAGATTTTACATGGTTTTGATGATGCAAGACTGACTGTCCTCTTACTTTAAATCAAAAAAGATAATATATCAGAACAATCATCCAAACATTGTGTTTAGACCTGTGTTAGGTAGTGTTTTGAGATTTATACACTTTCCTGCCTAAAAAATTCTCAAGAGAAGTTTTTCAGGGTGCGATTTTTACAGTGTTGCAGGCTCTTCGTGCTCTGAAATGAAAAGAGGCAAATATCAAAAGCAGCCCAGACGATCATGCTTTACGCTATGTAAGAGGCAGCCAGGATTACTGAGCTATTTGATGGAGGATTATAGAGTTGAAAGTTGCCAAGAGCACTGATGCTTTAGAATGAAAGAATGCATGCAGGGTTCAAATACCCTGGAATATGTTTAAAGTGTGAGCGCTGAAAAAGAAGACTCAGTGTTAATTATTTTGGATAAGACACAACCCATTAATGGTGGCTAATTACTTTTGAGATCCCGAGTTAAATATGGCTGTGTATTCATGCAACACCAATGTCGAAAAATAGATTTGGTTTTGTTTTGTGTTAGTGTAATCGAAATAGAGAAATTACACTACTCTGACACTGTCTTGTGCCATGCACAGTGGAAAAGATTATCCCAAAAAAAGGCATAAATCCCCCACTTGAAAATCATATAAACACCAGTAATAAGCAACAGAGAATATGCATCTGTGTTCCAGAAAATGAGAGCTGCCAATCCCGGCCAGTTGTTTAAAACCCTGATCTTAAATGAACACAAGCCCAGCTGAACTGATCTCTTTGCGTCACAGGGCATATCAAATGGAGTGGAAGAAGGGGCTTGTGTGATCTGATGATAAAGTGATGGCAGAGAGGGATATTGAAGAGGATGCTAGTGTTTGGGTATTACGTCAAATGAACAATACCGCTGGCTGTGGCAGAGCTGATGTGCCATCTGTCCTGGTCTGTCCATGCAGCGTTAGGCTCAGTGCATGTGTTGTATGTGTTGAGGAGGGAGACAGAGAACAGTGACGTACTTATCCAGCGAGACAGAGAAGATTACATAAAAGATGACAAAATTTACAATGCACATAAAGAGCTTCATCAAATGCTTCCAGTCAGTTTAGTCCTCAGAACCTCAGTCCGAGGAAAATGTCCCTGAAAAACCCAGCTAAAGCCACCATTGACTCACACCCCAAATAGGGTTTATTTTTTAAAAATGCTTTAATGTAAGTTTGTGAACATATCATACATGGTAAAACCAGAAAAAAAATCTTAATAATCTGCTAAAAGGGAAAAATACATAGTATAAACACAGCAATAATACATTCACAAATGCATGCATAATTCCATTTGAAATTAAAGGACTTTATCTATGTTCAAGAGAATATCTTGTAACTGATACACTTTTAATTGTAATGATAATATGCAACCATTTTGGAATACAAACATTTTAGAGCATGAGGGTAATTTAAGATAAAATGTCCAGAGTACACAACTTTTCATCATAAAAGAAAGGATGGTCATCAATCAACAGCATTAAGTATTGATGACAAGACAGAAGCAACACTGGTGCAAATCGTTGAATTACACTCGTAATAATGGTCATCATTCACATCTTTCCCACAACTTCCTCGGCCTAGAACAAAGGAAGAAATAAGATTATAAACCAAGGCTTTAGATTTTGTCATTTTTATGAAAGTTCAAACTTGAGATGGGTTTTTTAATTCTATTTTATATATTTCTGTTAAAAAAAATTATATACATATAATTTTTATATGTATATATATATATTCATATATAATGGCAGATTTTTCCAAAAAAGCTTTGCAACTACGTTTTTGAGCAGGTTGTAAAAGATGATCATCAGTAAAACCAGTGAATAAAAAAGATCAAATGGACAAGTCAGTAAGTGGTTAGCTGAAATTTGCTTATGAGACTGAGACTGCATTTCTCTCTTCGACCAAACTGTATTATATTTTGTTCTGAAAAAGCTAAATCTAGCCTTCCAGCAGAGATCGTCTCTCATCTGTAAAATGTGGTGCTGGAAATATCATTACTATTTGTGTAACAGCTAGAGTGGATTTTGAAATCAGGGCTGTGAGGTCACTGACTTTCTGCAATCAGACAAGAAATTACGATGTTCTTATTTTTTATCTAAAATAGAATGCAAAATTAGGACGCATGGTAGTGAAATAAAGAATGGTTTAGTATTACCAAGTGCTTACCATACATATTTGCTTCCAATCGATAGTGATAATTTACCATGGTTAAAGGTCACAATGTATCATGTTTCATTTATTCATATTTAGTTCTCCATTTGCGTAACCATACTCTTCCAGTGAAAAGGTCTAAGTCATAGAAATAATAGTTAAATTAATTAGAAACATACATTTTTATTGATATTTAAGTTTGCAAAATTTAGCTGATGTATTTTCACTGTACTCTGTTGTTTAGAAATACTATTGCAAACCGAGCTGTGCTAACTCTGTTTGTATGACAAATAACAATTTAATATAGCTCCGCTGTGACTCTGCTGTGATCAGCTTTGCTTTTGTTTGGTCTGTCATCGGACCTCCTTCTCACCTTCCTGTCTTCACTGGAGTCTTTATTAACCAGCCCCTCATCACTGGCGGCCTGCAGACTGTCGAAGGTGCCCTGCCTCTCATGCTCCCTCCCAGGTGTACTGGTATCCCTCTGCCGGTTCTTCCAGGACTCCATGACAACTTCTATACAGGCAAACTTTGTGTCTGTGGTGCAGGCATACATACCTATAGGCACCGCCAGCACCATTGCTAAAACTATCACCACTATATAAATGAGTTTCTCCCTCTGCTCCTTCTCAGTAATGTCACTTCCTGTCACAAACATGATGCACTGGCCTGGATGTGGTGCCTGGTTCTTAAGGGTTACACAGATTTCGTACTTGGTTGCAGGCATCAGATCAGAGATGGAGTAAGAGTTAATCCCAGGGCCAATAAAAGTTGTTTCTTTTTTATCAGACTCTGCACGACCAAGGTGGATGGTGAACCATGTTTCAGATGGGTGGTCCAGGGCAGCAAACCACTCAATGGAGATACCACGTACAGTCTGTTTGGCAATGCGAATGTCAATGAAGACATTTTCATCACCAGCCCCCGATGCAGCTGGAAACCCGGGAATATTTGCTGACAGGGAGCTATCAGTGGAGTAGACATCAAGGAAGACATTGACTGAGGAATTTCCAATGAAGTTGACAGCCGTGCAGGTGTAGACACCTCGATCAGCTAGATGGAGGGAGGGGATCACCAGGTGGGATCTGATGGTATCCTCTTCCACTCTTTCCTGGGATTCTAGGAGAAAAAAAAGGACATCTGTTGTTATTGCACAAAATATCGACATTATGTACGATTTCTGGGAATTCTGGTGGCTCTTACACTAACCAGTACACAGTGCACCATATACACAAAAGAAAAAAGACAAAAAAACTCTCTCTGTTTTAGTTGGAGCTGATTTCACCTAAATGTATAATTCTTAAATAATTTAAAAACCTTTATAACAGTTAAACATAAACATAAAGAAACAAGATAGACTTTATAAATGCAACTGAGCAGTACATTCTAACAGCCTGTTTTGTACCAACAATTGCTACTTTTAAAATGATCAAGTTAAATTTTAGGTTGTCAAAATAGAGGCTCTCGGTAAAAACTAGCTGCATTCTTTCATAGCTGATCCAATAAATGTCTAAATTCAGATCCTATCTGCTGCATTTTGAATTAATTGCTTGGACATAAATGATCAAATATTATGCCCCTATACTAATGGACCTGATAAGTAGCACACACAGCTATACATAGACATCGATGCCACCTGTATATTAGAACTTATCAATTCATCTCTACTTTCTAAGTCTCCCATCAAATGAAATGTTGCCTATCAGAGTCTAAATTTCAGTTGAAATTACAAATGATTGGAAGGCAAAAAAGAAAATAATTGAAACTAAAAAAATGTGTGTTTGTTAATAGAAAATTGGACCATTGTTTTTCATTAACCAAAAGAAAATGATTTTTTTTCTTTATTATTTCTCTATAACCCTTTATCTTTGCATTATTTAGATATTTCTGATCTCACATCTGTCATCCGTTTTACATTTATTCAATGTCAACCCGACATAACTGATTTGAGTTGATATATGATGACTGAGGATTTTATGTTAAGTTCCTTTTTTCATGTATTTCCATCCAGGTGTTTCTACCAAAATTAAGGTCCATTCACCTCCATGACCCTGGATTTCAGGATATGACAGATTCCAATAGTAGGGAAACAAATGATGGCAGCTATCTGTACTTTTTTTTATTAACTTGTTCCTTTAGTAATTGTCTTCAGCAGGCGTTCCATAAAGATCAAGTGGTTTACTTAATAACACTGACCTAATTTACATCAGGTAATCTAATCTATGGCAGTCTTAGTTAACACGGACAGTGTAAAGCAGATTGACAGACAAATATCCAAATATAACACTGGACCACTTGAAGAAGCCTTGACTATAGACTGCACGTTTAAGGACCTAATCCATCACAATTTATTGCCTGAAATTATAAAAAAAACACTGCGGACATGACCATTTTACCATGATATCCTCTGATTATCTTCAGACCATATGTCCACCACACGGTAGGGTCTGGCCTTGCCTTGGCGACACAGCGCAGAGTGAGGTTCGTGCCCAGCGGCAAGCTCACGTTGGTTCTCGGGGTGTTCACGACGGGCTTCATGCATGCCTGTAGCTCTATCTCGTGGAAGAACTTGCCTGCCCTAAAGTCCGGCCCTGAGCAGGTCAAGTAGGAGTTCATCAGTATGATCGGGGGGCTTAATGACATCATGAACTCCACAAAACCCTTCAGACGGCAGTCGCAGAGCCACGCGTTGTCGTGCAGCGCTAGAACGACGTTCGGCCCGGATACAGGTGCCTCCCGCTCCTCCATGCTCTGTAGTTTTTGGTAGAGGGGCCAGTTTTGGAACACCTCTTTCGAAATGACCGTAAGTCGGTTGAAGGATAAGTCTAAGTATGTCAGACCAGCCAGAAATCTTAAGGCATGCTCCGGTAGGACATCCAGCTGGTTGTGCTTTAGGTCCAGGATTTTGAGGGCAGGTGTGTCCTCGAACGCTGTCCATGGTACTGAACGCAGCTTGTTGCCCTGCAAACGGAGCTCGGTTAGGTTCCCCACACCCTCCAGACCCTTTGAGTTTATCACTGTGATATCGTTGAAGTTCAACCACAAGTTCTCTAAGGCGGGCGTATTTGAGAAAGCCCTCCTGGGAATTTCAGTGAAGTGAGATTTCTCTATTCGTATTTTGTTCAGATCATGTGGAAGGTTCTCTGGTATGGCTCCAAAGGTGTTCTCCTCCATACATATGAGCGATCTATGAAGTCAAACAGGGGTTTAGAAAATCACCTGTGTAGTGTTTACAAAAAGATTATCATATCTATCACAACATACACTTGACATATTCAGGGAAATTCTGAGAATAGCCTACCAAAATCTAGGGTAAAATCATTGGCCTACCAGTCAAAACAAGAAGCTAAATATGTTAAAGATTACCCTGTCACCCTGAATGCTGGACAGCATGAAAACAGGTCTTACCTTCCATGACGGTCTTCCACACAACTGCACCCTCGTAAACACTGACCGGAACTGCGATGAATTTGTATTAAAAATACGAGCAGGTAAACTAAAATGTCCATATTCCGAGAAAACTCCTAAATGTGATGGGTCCTGTTCAAGACATGTCCAGCGTGGCAGACGGCAGAAGCCTATTAGGTTTAATCCCTTGACATACTCTGCAGGAACAGTGGCATCTAATTCTACACGAAGATACGCGTGAGATAAACAGTTTACTGTGTCACAGGACAAGATCCACTTTACCTGTATGATAGCAGCGAATAATTCAAACGAATAATTAATCAAAGATTGATGGGGGAAAATGTTGTTTTGTAAAGTCTGATATTCTCTGAAAATGTTAGGATAGATAGATAGATAGATAGATAGATAGATAGATAGATAGATAGA